CCTCCTGCCTAAAGGTACCCAACTTTGAAAGTTGGTCAGTTTCCCACTTCAAAGGGACTTTCTGTAGAACAGAACTATCAGGTCTTTTCTGGAGTTTGACATCGATGAATATGAATAAACACTCTCTTTAACATGATCTTAATCAGTTACTACTCTGTACCTCTGTTTATATTTCATTATATGTTTATTTATTTAACCAGATATCAAATCTTACTGTTCACTGCATATTATAGAAACTGTTGAGATCATGTCTTGTGTTGCGTAATACCACTTCATTCCCTGCATACATATATCGATCAAGTCTGACCTTTGACCGGAAAGTTGTATGGAACATGTTTTCATTTCATTTATATACTTACGAATGTACAGCTTTGGAAATGAGTCGTTGAAAATATGATTATCTTCGCTGTAACCTCGTTTTATTTTTCAAAACTTGCATTAGCTAATGAGCGAATTATTACTTTTTCACAGGGAATTTGGATGATACGAAGAAAAGACAATTTTGGATTAAAAGATTTATTTTATTTGACGAAGGTATAGAAAATAGTGGTTATATAGGTCAGTCGTCTACATTCATCGAAAGTGTTTAGAGACAAATGAATGAACGTGTTGAACGCAGAAGAAAACTCATTAGGAAATTATCATCTTTTTCGAGTGATGAAAGTAATCGATGGACACGATTTTTGAAAAAGTGCGAAAGTGACTCAAATTATTCAACACAGGTTTTAAAAAATATAGACGGAAAGTTATATTCGTGGGGATTGACTGTCTCTGTGAAGTTCAAACTGGTTTGTTTATCTGTGAAGTCATTAATGGCTGTCATCTACATTTACACATCGAATTACTACATAAACTAACGTACGCTATGATCAAACCATATGCTACCTATTCAAAAGAGTTATATGACTACTATCCTAGAGACGTCATAGGTGCTCTCTGCTGAGGAGTCTTATACTAGGATAAAACAGATGTCCAGTGCTTTCAAGTTTTCAATGGCTCTCAAACTGATATCAGTCCGTGATGAATACTAACTTGATACTTATAAATCCCCACAAACCTCCAAACCGAATTACAGTACGCCTTAGTTTTAATGTAATATAGGCTTTCATTCCAACAAACAGTTTTACTCAACTAAACTTCTCTGTTGATTTCTCACTTATTTTTTGTTTATTTATAACACAAATTTGGTAAAAAAAAATACGCACCGAGAATTGCATCACACAAAATGACGTAATAGCATTCAGAAGATATCAGAGTGACAAACAGGTAAGAGACAAAAGCAGTCGTAGATATAAACGAGTTGTTCAAGAAGCAATTTGAATCGTAACCTCTGAAAGGAAACTCATTGCTTTCGGTTTACTTTTCGATGGTAGAAGAGATAAAAGGGTTGCAGCATAATTTTCACTGGTGTCGGTACCGAACCATTCGTGGTCAGTAAGTTGCTTGCTCTTCCTGACTATATCCAGGAAGTTATGATGCACCAACAGGTGCTTGCCCAGTGCCACTACCCTCGATCTGTCAATGTTACTTCATTCATTGGTCAGTTCATCACTTTCATCCAGTTTTGGGGTCAACAAACTTTAAACGGCATTGGAGCCTTTCGAACCAAATGTAAAACATGTGTTCAAGCTACCAAAACTAATTTTTCGAAATGATAATGTGCTTCCAAACCTCACAGCCTCCAAAGTATATCAGCAACGCTAGAAATACAACATTAATCGGAGGCAGTCGTTAAACAACTTCAGCTCACAGAAGCCAGGTTTCATTGGGAGTAGAGCAGAACTCCCCATACTAGTGCCTTGTACACCTGACATTTTTCGGCTAGAGTAACTTCACAATAACTTCAAAAGTGATCTTTATTGGTGATTGTCGCCTTGATCATTGACATACGATTAGAAATTTTGTATACTATCCTCCCCCCCCCGCTCGCCAACACACAAACTACTCATGTCGATGAACTTTGCGATTGCTTCTGACGGTTTACCACCAAAGATAAGTGCAGACAAATGTCCTTGTAAGTCTTTTAAGTGGATTGTCAACTTTGTTAACACAAGCACGTACTATGTATACAAACATTGATCACCAAGTGTCAGTGCGATTCAAACAAACTATATGTTGCCGCACAGATCGGAAAGTATCTTGTGATTAGCAGAAAGAAATACATTACCACCGCATACTGATTACTATCTAGAGGATATCATCTATGTCGAAGTTACAAAACATTGAAAAATGAAACATTCCTATTTAACCCTCACTAATGGTTCGAAACACTGGAAAGAAATAGTTTTATAGTGTGACTCCACCTGAAGTAGAGCTGTCAATATGTTAACACACATCTCAAAGATACGCTCTTCTGATGAAATTCCAAACCACACTCCTGTTCGATGAATAAGAGGGAGTCCTTATTTCAAGAGATACAAGGATTTCCAGCCTTCTGTTGGCGTGTTCAAATATCTGGCAGTCAGTAAATCTGTGATCAATTCATCTAGAGCCTGACAAAAACTCAATCTTTTCTCTACAAACCAGTTCTTAACGCATTTTGAGAAACCTGATTGCAGTCATTATTTTGTATGAGGTTGCTAGCGGATAGTACGCAGGTTTTTTAATGATGGGAAAATTTGTAACTTCACGTCAGAGTGATGGCACACTTTCAGTTCACCTTACCTTCTAGTTCATTCCCTGACTACAGTCACACTGCAATCATTAGAAAGAGTTGGTTATAAGTTATCTAGTCTGAATTCGTTATAATATTTCGTACTTGCTAGAGGTTTAACAGATAGTCTTCAGTGTAACTCATTTTAGTATTTAGTTTCATTGGTGAGCGCGACCGATTAACCTACGTCAATCTGTCTAGGATGACAAATCAAATGATTATCATTTTGACTATCGGAGTGAGATACCCGTGGTCTGACAGACTAGTTTGATACGAAGGGATGATTGAAAGTGAAATGAAAACTTGGCGCGTGGTGAGATTCGAACCAGTGGCCACCGAGTTCCTACGCTGGTGCTCTACCATCTGAGCTACGAGATCTGACTGCCACATGAATTCTTGATGCTTTACTACCACTTGATTGTACTCACACTGGCTGTCTGGTCAGGGCTTTAATGATCACTAAAGCATGCTGTCAACTTAACTCATAATAAAGCATGATCAGTGTATAAACAAGTCCTACCATAAGTTCTCATTGAGCCTAAGTCTCATAAAGCAATGGGACAACGGCAGGATATGTGTTCCCATGATTGTCAGTGACTGAAAATGATCCATGCCATTCGTCCATTCTGAATCCTGTGACCAATATTTACTATTGGATCTAGAATTCAGATTTTACTACACTCGTAGACAAATCTTCTGTACCTATCAATTTAGTAATATACGCCAAGATTTCATTTCCACCCTTTCGGAAACACTTTTTTTTCACTTAAAGACACCGATTAGGAGTTGTTTAGCAAAGATTGTGAACCTATGAACTCATTTCAAGGAGAACAACAGACTCTACCCACCCTCAGACGTAGCAGATCATTTTGGTTAACCAGTTGCATAAAAGTGACGGCAATTTGAGTTTTGCGTCAGGCACTTTCAGAGTCATCTGGATTACCTGGTTGTAAAATAGTGAACCTTTTATACTACATAATAAATGTAGGAATTTAAGAATATAAGTTTTTCGCAGTGATTGAAAAGATCAGTTAGATATGTTTTGATATCCTTGCTTGTATTATTCCGTCATTGATTAGACCAAATTGATCGGTCCAACTGACGAGCCCCAAATAGGACGAAACGTGAGTCCTAGATTCTACTGCTAGCCACTACCCATCATCAATATATAATTGAAACACAGGCAATATCGAGACATCCGCTCCGGAGCCTATATGCCAATAGAAAGCGATCAATTCGGTTCAATCAACGACGGGCTAATACATGTAACAATATTAAAACTATACCCATGGCACAAGAAATGGCTATTGTGACTCATTGGTCTAGTGCATAACGCCCTGCGTTTGGAGCGATCACTCCCGAGTTCGATTCCAGGCGGTAACAACATTCTCTGGGAAGCAGGTTCATTCAGCTAAATTTACGTTCTGGATCCCACTGCTAGCCAATATCTATCATTAATCTCAGCGTATTTAAAATAAGAAGTCCCAACGTTTCGCACAAAAATCTAGTCTGAGCTTCTTCAGGGAAATAATCAAAATCTACAATTATCATAAATAGATAAGATGAAAAATCGTACAGTTCATCTCACTGTCCAAGCTTGACTGGATTATGATTAGGAGGAAGGCCTAGTCTTATCAACATTATCAGTTCATTCTGTTTTTTAATATATATATATATATATATATATATATATATATATATATATATATATATATAGAGAGAGAGAGAGAGAGAGAGAGAGAGAGAGATGACATTTTTTCTGCCACATACCTTTGGCAAGTACGTATAACATTAACAATTACGACACATGACCTCTATTATTTTGTAGTGACCTATGTATGAAATACAACCCCCCCACACACACACACAAGCTTACATTCATGCATCGTATGTACCAATACACCATGATGTAAATGACTGATAATCCTATTGAAAAGCAATCACAATCCAATGACGATTGGACAATGAGATGAACTGTACGGTTTTTCATTTCATATATATCTATGATAATTGATTATTCCTCTAAAGAGAAGCTTGGACCAGACTTCTGTGCGGAATGTTAGTTTCTTATTTTAAGCACCCTGAGATTTTTCCAAATATAACCTAAATTTAGTGTCAACGTTTCACTCAGTGCCCAATATTTATGAAACTATCCAGTCAAATCTTGATCAGAATTTACATAAATATGAGACTGATTGTCGTAAATGTTCTAAGTAATATGAATTATGTGATATATTACAATAAATTTGTCGAATATGAAATAAATATAAGTGTATTCACCTGACTAGTATTCATTTCAAAAATATAATATTTTAGTTCTAAGCATATTTTTCTTTCATTTCAATAGGTCCATTCCCAGAATTTGGTGGATTCTCTACTGAAAGTTTAGTTCGATATATCCCAGAAGATATACACACTGATCATTCAGACGTTGTACAACCGTGGAGATCTGTATCTCACGCTGTATGGTTTGTTGAAAATGGTAGTGAACACTCAACTGTTAGATGATAATAATGATATAAATGTTTGTTGTCATCAATGATAATTTACAATTTTGATCTTCGTCATCTTTAAACTGTGAATTATAAAGTTATAAACTGTTGTGTTTTTTTTTTGTTTTGTTCATCGTTTTAATTTTGATGTAAATATTTCTTATTGAATTAATCAGTATTATGTATAAGTGATTATCACTTTTATTATACATTAGTAGAACTTTACAGATTTCATGTATACACTTATTTCTATTCATGTTTTTCTTTCATTATTCTCTCTTTGTAAAATGAGAAAATGCACAGACACATATAAAGATGAAGTTATCTGTGATCACTTTCAAGGAAATTATTAATTGGATCACTTGAAGTAAAATGAATGTTTTCATCGTATTATTTCGGTGACACGCATTTTAATTGTAACCAAAAATACACTTTTAAGGTTTTAACTCCTTCTGCTTTTATTATTCGTATTCTCTTCGTTTGTTCATGTCAGAAATTATTTTACTTTCTTTGATGATAATTGTTGCTATAAGCATTATTATTACTTTTTTAAAAAAAAATATTTTTACTCCTACTGCCACCTAAGAGTATGTCTGTTCTAATGCAGAGAACTGAAGTATTCGATTGACTCGTGTGTATATTGAATTTCTTAGTGTTGTTATTACTATACTTACTCTGTGTATGTATATTTCAGGTTCTACTTCATTTAACTATTCATAGGTTAAAAAGAAAAAAGCGATAAACCACTGTTTTTCCGTTTTGTTCGTTGATTTAAAAACACCTAGGTAATTTTTGTTTTACCTTTGGTAAAAACGAATTTCTGTGCTTTAAAAAAAAAAAATTATCTTGCCACGTATACTAGCTTTCTTCTTGTGCGTAATGCTTCTCAATTTCTTTCTTTACTCAAGAAAAGTGATATTGCATTTGTCTCTTGGTTACGCACATATATATACACACTTTTCTAAAGTTTCCATTTATTCATTTCTGTGTATAGTTGTGTGTCCATGGGGGGGGTTCTTACCTCCTCTTCCACTGTTTTCCTCTTGCTTTTGTTGTCTATCTAGTAGTAATATTTTATGAGACGATTTTTTGTTTTCAAAATTATCATCATGCTTACTCTTGCCACTGCCAATGCTATTATGATTATGATTATTATTATTATTTAACAATATTCATCTAGTGTAATGTCTGTTACAATAAAAAAAAACCTTGAATTGAAGTATAATCAGTCGACTGATGCCTATAAAAACTGTTTAGAATTCTGAATTGTATGTTGGTTCCTTTTCTTTTCTTTGTTTCGCGATGTATCCTCTCAATCAATAAATGTTTTATTAATAATGTTGAAATGAACATTAGTAGTAGTGTTTGTGTACAATTGTATTATGATTCTTCTAACTTACGTTTATATCATTTATTGTTATCAGTATTATTGTTAATGATTATTATTATCATCATCATCATGTTGTCTTTTCGTTAGATTGTTGTCGATATTGCCGTTGTATTATTATTGTACTCTCCATTGTTTCTCATCTACATTCTTTTCTGAAGATGTTAATGTATGCAAAGCTGTGTACTTGTTTGTATTTACTCACAGTCTACTAATGTATTTTAAACCTTTGTTGAAATACATCAACCAGCCACTTTTTCTTCGATAACAGAGACTGAAAGAAATTCATCTATACGGGATCTCATTTTGCATATTGTTTATTACCGGCACATTTTTATGGCTTTATAATGCTTATAATTATTATTGTTACGGTTATTATTATCATTATTATTACTGTTGTTACTATTTTTTCCTTTTTGTTTTCTTTACGCGCCTTGTGTACATGACAGAAATATGAACTAATTGCCTAAATTAACATTATTTTAGTCTTTTAATCTCACTAGAAATGATTGAGTTATTATTCCATCTTTCAACTCAATATTGAATTCCAACGGGAAGATGCTTCGAGACGAAATGCATATAACAATAATTTCGTTAACCGTAAGGATTTTGTGTCACCGTATTTAGTATAAGTATTTTATGTTTGACACCAACATGCATGTCGATAGTTCAGGCAGCTAAATTCCTAAGTAACACAGTGTTTTCACGTTCATATTCAGTTTAAAGCTTATATGAAACAAGCGTTACTGTCCGACACAAAACAGGAAGTTAATCGTGCTAGAGAGATATGCAGTTTTCTGAATCTCAACTAGATGAATCAGTAATGATCCCATTTACTAACGGTTACATGTTCGTAGTCTCATCTAATTATTTATACTCAATAGCAGTATTACTGAGTAGGTTGAGAAGTAAATAAACCTCTGGAATATACACAAGATGAAGTGGTTCTGCTGTATCTTTTGCTTCTCTGAACTTTGAAAATATTAGAAGATAAAGCCTGGTGTCGACTGGAAGAATTATTTATATTAGGCAAAAACATAACTATTTTCATGCGCATAAAATTACACTGGAAATAAAATTAACTGGTTACTTCTAATTGGTCCGATGAGTTAATCCCTATTACATAGTAGCTCAAAACTTTTCTGTGGACAATCAATAAAAACGTTGATTTCTGTTTCCAAGTCTTTAGTAAACCCAGACAATGTGATGATGGTTATGTTCTCTGAGCTTTGGTATTTTGCTGTGGAAGCAACATCCTCAGTACTAACTTCATAATGAGATGAAGCAAATTCTAATGTTTAGGTAGTGATTTTGTTAACCTTGAGAGTTATCCAGTTGTAAGTTGGGAGAGGAGAGTTTTGTCACACCTTTACCTGATCAACCTTAAATTTCATTCGGTCATATTGGTAGAGAATCTTTGTTAGAGGGAGGCTGTAGCATTTGTCGCTGTCACACAGTACTTCATAATTGATTTGTCGATAGAAAGTTGCATTTCTTCTTGAGTAGATAATTTATTGGACCTATATTCACGTATCTGTTGACTAACTTTCCGTTTGAATGTCATGCCACAAGAAATGTTCTCTTGCAGCTTTCGAACCTGCTCTTCAGAGTATTTCCACATCCTGCCAGTTGAATTTGTGATCCTGATTGCGTATGTGCATTAAAACCAAGAAAGTTGCGTCATGTCACTTTACTACTTCTTTCTGCCCATGAATTCTTTGAGCAGTCCGATGGCTAGACTGGCCAACGTACTGTTGTGAACAATCTTTGCACCTTATCTTGTGGCCTATATTTGCCCTATCTTCCTTCTGCAATAGATCCTTCCGCTTGCACAACTTGTTGTACTGATTTCATTGGTTAGTGTGCCCACTTCAATCCTGAACGGACGAAGCAGTCTGTTGACCGTTTCTGAGATATTCTTAATCCTGGTTGGAGTAACGTGCTTATTGATTTGAGGTAGTTGCCCTTTTCTCTGTTCTGATGGTAAACATTTTCAATAAAGTTATGTGGATAATCATTGGCTCTGAACACTTTAGAAGTATTTTTCCTTCGTTTTCCCTAGTTGCTCAGTGTTACCATATGATTTTAGCTCTGGGGAACATTGTTTCGCACACATTATTTCTCATGGCATGGTATTCTAACAGAAAGTCGGTCAACAGACCCGTAGATATAGACTCGATGTATTATTTACTTACGAATATATGTAACCTCCCACCAACCAAGGGCGAATCGATGAAGAAAAATCAACAGTAAGGCATTGTGTAACAGCACAAATGTCACAGCCTCTCTCTAACAAAGATTCTCTGCCAGTATGATTGAGTGAAACTTAAGGTTGATGAGGTCACGTTGTGACAAAAATCTCTTCCCCTAACTTACAATTGGATAACTCTCAAGGTTAACGAAATCACTACCTGAACATTCAGACCTACTTGACATTTTAATGAAGTTATAGCTGAGGATGTTACCAAGCCTGCTAGTGAAACGTCTACGACAAAGGCCATAGCTAGAACGCACCGAACTATCGTCATTTTCAGCCTTAGGAACAAATCTTTTCCATCATTCCAAACAAAGTGTCTCAAAAAACAGCCAATTACCTACAGGAATAACCAATTATTTTTACTTATCATGAAAACACTACATTTTCAGCCTAAATAATTTACTATTTCACTAGTTGATTAGTCGGCATTCAGAGTTATTCACGCAGACACCTGCTGCTGAATGCCACCTCTGCGGTGGGTCAGTAAAAGGTGGTTTTTATTTGTAAAGAAAGTAGTTTTTATTCTGAAAGGCGGTCGAATACCTATATATTTCTAGTTAGGCTGAGGTGCTCCTGGGGTTCTGTACAATAACTAAGGTGCTAAGAATTCAAGGAGAGCTGTCATAGAGTAACAATTATCCTTGAGTCGAGGTTTATTTTGTTATCGACAGTATTTATAGAAAGCTTTGTTACAGTATCTTTATGAAATTATATTTTCCTTCTGAGGTGTTCATATTCTACTTCGCACCTTTGTATGAAACTAGGAATGAGGTACCAATGGCATTGATCGTTTACAGTGGTTCCAGAGTGAGAGGCTAGGTAAGGCGTAAGAGGTTTAACATTAGTATCATGAGGCGAAGGTAAATGAGGCGATAGTTGAGGAGGTTAAGGTATGTGTAATAGGATCTTGTGTACTGGGGGTTGACACTTCCCGCCTGCCCACACCGTGGAATGCTATTTTTGCTTAAGGTGCCTGAAAGAGAAGAAGACTTATGTGACCGCACAGCTTAGAGGACATCTGCTTGAGATCGGTCACGTACGGCCTTTTTGATGTCACGATAACTGGTTTGTATTATGGGAGATGTAGTTGGACATACGTCCTAAGGTTTTAGATTACCACTAGTGACTGATCTAAGTCACCATAATGCATCATCTCATTGTTTGAGAACATGTTAGTGGTAACTGCTTTTTGCCTAGCCACTATCCAACAAATCTTGTTGGAATTGTAGGATCTCGAGGGAACAAGCGTTCCAGTCAGTGTAGTCGTTGGGTCATCATGATATCCAAGCCCAACCACTACTTCAAGGTAGCAGCTATAGGTCGCGGTATCCGACGAAATCCTAGCTCGGATTTGTTATGTTATGAAAGTGTTTGCACCTCAGACGTTTTACACAACCATCTTATGTTACTTTTAAGGCCTTGGTGTTATCTGATGAAAATAATGCCATTTATCTGCTTCCAACATCCATATGTGATTTGCGTTCTTGTAAAACAGATATCTCATACAATTTGGCATCTAATAACAGGTTGGATTTTGCGTATGCTTCATGTTTCAGAAACATTTCTAGTGTAAATAAAGTATAGAATAAGTGAAACAATTCTTCAGTCTAGAGCCTGAAAATAGTAATGCAGTCACGAGAACTTTTCTCTTAGAATATTTTCACTATAAAGACAAATGATAATTTAAGATCTATCCAGTTTAGGATCTTCAGATCGCGTAGCTAGCAAATAACAATCCAACCATGGGACTCGAGTCGGGCACTTGCTGTTTTCCAAGCTAAGTTGATTTATGATGTTAAGCAATCGTTATACTGTCATCCGTTTGTTTTATCTGCATCACTTCCAATTTAGTTGAACCTATAAATCTCTGCTTTCCAATGAAAACTCTGAGATATTCATATCAAAGACAGTCATTATTGAGTATTAATTTATAGTTTAGTTGAGTTGCTTTTCACGGTTTCAAGCTCTGAAAATCACAACCAGCATCTATACAGTAATCTGTATTTTTCAATCATGTTTATGAGCGGGAATTATCTTCAAATCAGTTAATGCCTGACAAACTATTGAAATGATTTAACTGCTTAGTAATTAGTTGTGTGAACTCAGTATAGCATACTGGAACAAGTAAAAAAAAATATTTTGTATTGTTCCTTAACGTTTTGATCTTGCTAGGAAGATCCTCTTCAAGAGTATGAATCTGATAATGTTTTCAGGTTAATATTCAAGTTTGGTGCAGAAGGTAACCTTTATGATCATCTAATTATATTGTGATATAGGATATTAACCTGAAAACTTAATGTCGGATTCATACTCTTGAAAAGGATCTTCCTAGCAAGATCGATACCGTTGAGGAATAATTCAAAATATTTTGTTATTTGTCCGAATATACTACGCTGGGAGTACACAAGCGTAAATGCACCTTATACTAACGCAGTGCCCAAGTCCTTTCAAACTATCCATCCCACTGCTGGTTAGGATACATTCAATCATATCGATCCGGCTAAACATATAAACCAGTATTTTCAGAAAGTGATCAAACCAGTTTGATAATTTGTCTCTCTTTAATCTTCACAGTTAAGTAACTTGTATATTTGTGTGCCAAAGCTGCAGTGACATAATTAACCCGAGTTACCTTTATATCACTGTGTATGAACGAATAAATTACATTGATTCTTCTTGGTTATATTGTGTTCTCTGAGCTTGGTTGTTTATTCGTGAAGCTTTCATCGTCTTTCTAGACAGTGCCATCATCATCACTAACTTCAGTATGAAGTGAGTTGTCAACATCTCTCAGTGAGTGGTTTGTTAGCTTGCCCTGATGAAGTGATCTGTGATTGGTTGTTTCCTTTGATTTTTGTGTTATTGACTGCATGGATTTTCCTATTGGCTGTTCCTCTGCTTGACCTCTGATCTTTCCGTCGTTTATCATTTTATTGGCTGATAGATTGGGTCTATGTCTATATACCTGTTGATTGCTGACTGACTGTTTTGAATGCCAAGCTTCTAGGAATTCTCTGATATTTTTTTGTTTCCTCTGTCCGAAATTTCTACATCGTCGAAATTGAATTCATCTCTATAACTATCCACGTGTATTGAAATGAGCGATGAAATGTCACGACGTTTAATGGCCAATTGGTGTTCATTTAGACGAAGGCGAAGAGGGCGACCACTTTGTTCAATGTAATGTTGACTACAATTATTGCAGTTGATTTTGTAAATGAAGTTTGGTTTGTCTTCTTTGGTTGTCGCATCCTATGGTCTG